TAATATATAATACTAAAATTTGAATTGTAATGTATAGTTTGATGTCAAATTTATTGGCATAAATTCATGAAATAGTAGTTCAATAAAATTTTGAATGTGAATTAAAAATGTGCAATGATATGGCCTTTGACTGGTGACCCGTGTAGAAAGGGTAAATACACAACAATAAAGAACCTTTACATATAATGTTTTGTCAAGTAATGGTTCAGACTGATGGAAGTATAATTGTTTCTATTTAGAATATACTTCCACTAATTTAATTTTATTTTCCAGAAACAAACAGATGGTCTGTTGTGGAGGTTAAAGGTCGAAGTCCATGTGCTCGCCGAAGACAGTGTTGCTGTGTAGTTGGAGGAAATATTTTTCTGTTTGGAGGGACGAGGTAGTTTCTCTTGTTTTGCACCAGTTTGATAAGTTTTATATTGTTATTGCAGTTTAAAACAATGATTGTGTAGATTTGACACTTGTCATACTTTGTTAGTTAGTTTTTCACTCCTCTAAGATTCATGTCTTATTCTCATGTTGATCAGCTTTCAAGGTTCAGGTGCTATTATTGGTACTACATATGTACATTGCATTTTTTGTTTCTATATCGAACGTACCTTGGCTGATCAAGTATATGGTGGAAAAGGAAGAGAGTAATTAATGAGCCCTTAACTCAGACATCTTGATTTTGGGGCCTTCTTTAATCTTGGCCCTCTTTTGTCTCTCAAATTGCTGATACCAAAAAATGCCTCTTGTAAAGGGTATAGATAGTTGTAACTTATCGTGCAGTCTATTTATTCCATATGATAAAGGTTGTAAATGTTTTAACACAATCACATTACAAATGACCAGTACCACATGTTTATTTCAAATAATATGGGCATTGTGTGCTCTAGTTGTTGTTTTCTTTCATCATTCCTTGGGGGCAGACATCCCTGAATTTTTATCAGTCCATTCTAAAAAATGACTGTCCCTCACCCCTCCTTTGAAGAATATGACAATAAAAAAGAAGTAGATGAAATACTAAGGGTTTAAGTTGTTGCTAACCAAACCACCAAATGCACTTCAAAATTGTCATTTGATTTGGCGAGTCATTATTTATTTCAAACCTATAAATTGCAGTCATAATATACTTTTAAATTTAAGTATATGGATTTGGCTAAACTGGAATCATTTTGATTCCAAGAGCTCTAGTGATAAATAATGTTGTGTGTGCAAGAGAGTTAATTTACAACTTCTGTTATACAATGTAATAGTGACTAATTTGATCTTAGTTTTCAGTAAGATATTAAGTGTGATGTGTATATCAGATTTTATTGTTTCATAAATTTGTTTTCAACTGACATTTGCCCTTTATACAATTTAGTCCTAGTCCAGGTGGTATTGTGTTGCCAACACCACCAGATGCAGAAGTTGGTGATTCAGCTTTGATGGATCACTCGGACCTTTATGTCTTAGACACATGTAAGTTACTTGCTACATTCAAATTCATTTTATATATGAGTGTGCATGTATCGTGAAGTATTTGATATTAGTTAATATTTTTATATGGTAGAGAAACCAATAGTTGCACAATATCTGGCTTAAGGACAGTGGGACAAATCAATACTACAAAGATATCTAGCTTTCAGTTGGTAAGTTTATGGAGTTAAAAATTGATACCTTTAAGTTAACTGGTTTTAATATACCAAGTTTTTTGGAAGTAAGAGACCAGTGACAATTAACTAAATGTAGCTTTAATATAGTGCACTAAAGTAAAAAAAAAGTTTCAAGAGTAGAGGTGAAAAAAGTAAATTGAAAGGTAAAACATTATAAAGTGTTCTTTACATCTTGAACAATAAAATGGTTGTTTAACTCTTAAATGAGTTTTGTTACATCTTAAATCAATTCATCTTTGATAACTTAGCATTTATTCTGTAATTACTCAACCATGTGTAATAATAATAATATTATTCAAAAAATAATGGATGAATTTTAGTTTATATTTGTTATAATTTCTGCAGAATTTAATGTATTTTTCTGTTGTGATTTCAGATAAAACTTGGCATATTAGTCAGGTTTTGCATATGTAAAATTCCATAAGTGTAGCTTGAATTAATAAAAAAAATTGATGAATTCCTTTGTTTGTATTTTATTATTTGAAGCAAGAAAGTTGTAGACTTTGTCTGTTTTCAGTTCCCTCACTAAAAACTTTGTGTATGCTGCTAGTCATAGAACATCGGTTAGATCAGAGTTGTCTTCCTAAAGTTGTCAGGTAGGTTTTTGTTGTTGAATATTTTTTTGTTACTTCTCAGGAAGCACATAAACTAGTTGGATTAATGTTGTTGTTTTTTATATTAGATATGTTGTATTCATATTTTAATGTACTGATCTGAAACATACATTAGGTTAAGGAGTACTTCTTAACATCTGAGGCATTGTGCTAAATTTTTGTACAAAAGATATATATATGTGAATGTTTATGTAAGGTAAAAGTTAACAAGTGGATGTATTTTGAATGTGTCATAATATAATTTGAACATCATTGTTTGTTTCAGGTGGGAAATTGAAGCTATGATCACTAACAACAGTATTAGTAGACCATTACCTACTATGGGATGATTGACAATCTTATTTTGTGTTTAGATACATGACCTTTAAAACAAAAAATAGCGTTTATTTATTTAAGAAATATTACATTGTATATAAGAAACTTGTGAAAGGAAAATCTGTTTTAAATGAATAAAAGGGTATGTGCTGTAAGGTTCTTCTCTATAGCTAATTTTAAGTATATGACTCACTTTATTTTGATTTTAACTATTATTCACTGGTTTTTACACCATATAAAAATATTCTGTTTAAGCTTTTGATATTTGATTAAAAGAGTGACAAATTTCAGACTTCACCATATTATGTTAAATAATTCATGTTTAGAAATACAGGTTATATTCAGGCCTTGGAGTGTAAAATGTGTGAACTGTTTTGATACTGAAACTAAGACTAAATTGAGATAAATATTTCTGTGATTCAAAAATCAGCAAGTCATCATTGCTAAATTAATGGGAATACTTACTTGAATTTCATTACATCTATGTTTCAGGCATTTCTGTGGAAAGCTTATGCAATATGTGGGAAGAGTCAGTTTTCTGGAAAGTTTATTGATAGGGGAGCTTATCAAAAAGCCACTACAGCTAGAAAGTAAATAGTTTTGTGGATGTTCATGTAATTAGTTTAAAGCTTATATTGTATTATCACAGCAGGAGATTACAGTTTTCTGAAATACTTAATATGTGGTATGGTTTTTGAAATTTCATTATAGGCTAGACAATTATATCAGATCTATTATTAGCTATGTTGTAATTACTATAATGAGTAGAAAACCTAACAGGACTCAACACAGCAAGAAATTACAGTTTTGTATGATGTTATATTAAGTTAGAAGTTTGTGTGGATCTTACCTAAGTGGAGGAATAGAACGTTTTTTTTTAGTTGCTGTAGTGAGTAGCAGTTTATCAAAATGGACAACCATATATATACCCTTAGTCATGTTCATGTATGGTTATTTAAGATCCCAAGGTCAGAAATTATTCCATCTTGTTGTTTAGAAGGTCAGTTAGTACAGTACAAATCCATATTATCTAGAAAGTAAATATAAAGTATACATTCTACGAAACTGACAGCCAGGAACTCGTAGATAGCAGTACTCTAAATTGCATTGTGTTTACCTTTTATTATTAATAGTAAATTCTAAAACATATATTTATTTTATTTTAGAACAAACCATGATTTTAAAGATACATTTGTGTTCATGAGAAACATGCTGGCAAAGGTCATTCATTGTTATAGATTTGAAGGTTCATGTACAAAAATTTGTTATAAATGAGAGGCCTTACTCACATTTGTAATATGTGTGTTGTATAAAAGATATTTATGTAAAAGTCTGCACAAAATGATGCGTATTATGTGTTTTATTGGATCACACATTTTAGCTATGTAGCTAAAACAAAGAAATTAACCTAGAGATATTCAACATCAGTTACTAAAAATTTTTCTTATTATAGCACTGTCATTATAGGTAGTGTATCTTAACAGACTTTTTGGATCCTTGCTAACAAGTACTACATAGAAAGTCATTCACTTGTTAGTGGTTGTATAACTAAAAATTGCACAGTTTGCTGTATCTACATACTGTTATTTTAAAGCAAGAGGACATTTCATTGTTTGCTGTAGTAACAGTTGTTTTGAATTATTAATGGTGTCTGAATGAATGAAAGTTGACCTTTTTTTTTGATTAAAATAATAATTTTTAATTTGTTTTTGTTGATTTTATTCTTCACAAAAACTTTAACTTTTTTCCATTCACACAAAGTGCAAGTGTCTTTGCATTCAACGCTAACTAGTTATCTTAAAAAAATCTGAATATCTTTTTACTTTGTAGCTATTAATTATCATTTTTCCATTCACACAAAGTGCCAGTGTCTTTGCATTCTACGCTAACTAGTTATCTTAAGAAAATCTGAATATCTTTTTACTTTGTAGCTATTAATTATCAGTATGAAACAGCAACACATCCTTGCTTTTTTCTTTTTGCCTTTGTTATTAGTGTCAAAGGCAATATATCATAACATCAGATTTTGCATTATTTACCATATTAGTTATTATTTCATGATTACAGTGTTTTATAATAGCTTTTCAGTTTTGGTTGTTTACACCATTGTCCAAGTGAGTTCTGTTACTGAGAAAAAAGCAACAACTTTAAAATTCAGAAATTCTACTCACCCCTTCACCACAGAAAGCTGTTACTTCATATGCACTGCTGTGTAATTTCCTATGTATATCATAAGCCTTGAACTAAGCTCCCACCCCTATGCCTGTCAATGTGTGTTGCACCAGCCGGTGATATGGTTATAATTAAACTATAGCCCTCCACCAATATAAGGGTAACACATTCTCCTTGAGTACTAACATCTGAACGCGTGTTTTTCTTCAGCACTGCTGGTGTTCAGACATTTTTGCGGGATTTGCATACAATTTAGTCTTTTACCTAAGTTCTTTTTTCTTTGTTTCATTTATGTAGTTTGTCTTGTCTTTTTTGTTGTTGTTGTTGGACTACAAGACCCTTGCCTATTTAACCACCTTATAAACAAACAAAGAAGTTGATCATTGTTGATTTGTGAGTAATTTTTGCCCATAATTTCTCAGATCCACATTTCTGTTACTTCCTGAGGCCCTGACATTCCAATTCAAGATTCTCCTCCTACAGTTTCATTGGTGAATGGGGGTGCTTTGTCTGTCAGTGTTGTTACTACCATTGTACATCAGGTGGTTGGTACTCTTCTACCTCTTCCAGGTCCCTTATTGTTCTGTTTCTGTTGATTCTGCTGAGCTTGTCTCATCTAATGATTACTTCAACCAGCACATCCATCCATTTGCCTTTGCTTCTGGCTATTCTCATCTTGAAGAGGACCAGGTACCCCTGCCTCCTTCCTTTGCAACTGTCATTGCTCAGACTTGTGACATTCTTTGTCCAGTAATTTTTTATGAGTCTTGGATTGCTCTGCTTCATAAGCCTCAGTCTTCTGAATTTCTTTTCTTCACTCTTCCCCAGACATTTATGTTCATGCTGATACTTTTCTGTCCAACTGTGCACTGATCCATATCAGCCTTGAACTCCTTGTCTTCGTTACTTTTGCTATGGCCTATGATCATGATCCTTCTGATTTCTTGAACCTCAGTCCAGCTTGGTATTCCCTCCTTTCTCCTACTTTGTCTCTTACTCTTCCTCAATCTAATTTTATTGTGTTATCATCACATAGCTGCTTCACTATTTGTCTATTTTTAACCTTCTTAGAGGCTTTTCGTTGAAACACTGACAGTTTTGATAGAGACAATCATTCCTGTTTGTTAGCTACCTTGATTTCAATCTCTTCTTTGGTGATGTGGTTTCTTTGTTTTTGAGATTTGTTTGGTCAGGATTCCTTTCTTTCAGATGTACATCCCCCCTTCTTCTTAGCTCTAAAGCCTTCATTTTATTTCCTTCATGACAAAGTCATTGATAGTTTTCCTAATTCTTTGGAATCTTTGGCTGAAGCTGCTTACCAGCAGTCTTTCCAGATTTCTTTTGCTTCTCACATTACTAGATCACAGGTGCCCCCAAACAAGTTATCTGTCCTTGGGAGTCATATGGGGTTGCCACCTCCCCTGATCTTCATCCTATTGTTACTTCTTGCCTTCCCCTTTTTGGCAGGGCTGGCTGTCATAGTTCAAGAATGTGACTTGTCTTGTGTACTGCCCCTTGGGTTCCCTTTACCAGTGTGTGCCTGCTGTCTTTAGTCACAGTAGCCCATTGCACTGTCTCTCATTGAGGGACCTGTTTCCAAATGATAGTGCCTGATGACAGTGGACTACTCATTTTGTGATGTTTTTCCCCCAGTGTGAATTCCTCCTCCTAATTTCTTGTAGTGGAGTACAAGAAAACCCTTACTTCCCTAGTTACAAGGTGCTGGGGAAGTCAATATGGAGAGTTTCTCATTCTCTGATGCAATCCTACTGGTATGAGACTGTGTGGATGCATCCCTCATTTGAGAAGGTGGGCTGGGGTTTTGCCTGGTAATGTAATGCAGGACACCCCGCTATGTTATGAACTAAACCATCCTTGGTAATTAGGTCCAGTCAGATATCTTGGGTTTACCTTGGGACACAGGTCTGGGATGCTACTCCCAGTACTTGACTTTTATTGTGAGTATCTCTCATAAGTATTTTTCCCATATTGGAATGGCCTGACTTATGGTTCTAGCTACATTATACACTCATGCTCAGCCGTCCGGTTATGAATAATAAGGTATGGTTGAGCAGTCTATCATTCTACCCACCTTTATGGATCATCAGCACCCAGCAAAAGAATCTTATGACTATATATTTTGCTCTACCACCCCTTTTAGGCAAAGAGTATTCCCTGCTTGAGAAGGATGCGGTCTTCCATTGATTGCTATCCTATTACGCCACTCACCTCACTTTCTTGTGGTTGTCACATTCCACAGGTTTCCATTTCTGATACTGTTTTCAGAAAGCTGCTCATCTTGTAATTTCTCTGCACAGACTCCTCTGCCATCTTCATTATGGGATTCTAGCTCTTTGTAATGCAAAGAGGTGAATATTTATCTGAAATACATTTTCAGGTAAGAAAAATGTTAACATAAGAAGTATTGTGCCATCTTGCTGCATTGATCTTCTTAAAATTTTATCATTTGTTATGATATTTGATCAAATTTTCCAGTCTATAAGGCTTCATTATTTTCTTGACTTAGCATTTCACAGTGTGTATTTTACATTCTGGACTTTAATATTTGTATAAGGATTTATTTATCAGGAAGTGTTACATTTAGCAACAAATATCAGCTAAAACATGCATTTTTTAAAGGTAAGCAGTAGTAATATTTAACCAAATATTTTAATATAAAATTGTGAAATGTTAATATACCAAGATAAGTAATAACCTTAATATGGTTTATAATGTCCCATAGTGGAACACTGAGATATCAAAGAACTACTTATATTTCAAAAACATATATCAAAACAAAGTAACAAATACCTATAAAGCATATCTGTGAAAGGACCAGATATGGCTCAATATTACACACAAAACAAGATTGAGTTACTATAAGTATTTTTCTAATATTTATTCTTGGAAATTTAATACAATTGACAAAAAATAACTTTATACAATTCTAAAAAAAAAAGTTTTTTTTCTGCTCCTGTAAGATCTTGTAGTATTGACTGGAGTACTTTAGACCTTTGTTCAACTAGATGAGATATATAAACCACAGTAATCCAGAAGTAATTTATTCAATTGAACCAATTAAATGTTTCACCATTACAACTTCTTCATGGTTTTTACAAAACAGGTCCAAGTAATAAGTTAGGTTAAATTACAAACCAAATGTTATATTTCATGTAGTAATAGCTTGTATAATGTTGTACTTAATGCTACATGAAATAAACATTTAATTGATAATTTAACCTAATTTATCATATTGACATGTTATACAATATATATATA